ACCAAAAATTATTACTAATAAATAATAGTATCATTTCAATTTAAGTTAATTATTAATTGATTAAAGATTTTATGATATCTAAATAATTATTCCCTGCACTAAAATGACAGTAGATATTTATAATATTCAAATAAAGGAGGTGTACATAAACTAAAATAGAAGACCTTTCCTATCTTTAGAGATAAAGAATAAGATGAAGAGAAAAGAAATAATGAAAAATATAAGAAATGGATAGGAATTAGAATTATTGTTTATACTAATCAAATTCACTTTTAATTAAAGTCTTCTAAAAGACAACTTCCTGAGGATTTAAATAATGATTTCAAATTGTATCCTTTATAATTTACAAAATCTGCTTTCAAGATAAAGGCTCCTTTAGCTTGAAATAATGGTGTTTGAGATATACGAAGAGTTGTAATAATATTGGATACTAACAAATAATCATAAATGAAATACATGATAAAGGGTTGTCTTGAAATAGTGGTAATTTCAATTAAGCAAATATATTTTTGTAATTTTTGTCAGCAGGGTAAATTTCTTTTCCAATCTTAAGATCCCATAGACGTATAGAATTATCATCACTACCAGATGCTAATGTATTTACATCAGGAGAGAAACAGACTGAGTTGACACAACCAAAATGACCATCCAATTTGGCTTTTTATTTACCTGTTTTGACATCCCATAAACTGATAAAGTTATCCTTACCAGATGCTAATGTGTTTCCATCATGAGAGAAACAGAGTGAGTTGACACAACCAAAATGACCATCCAATTTGGCTTTTTATTATCCTGTTTTGACATCCCATAGACGGATATAGTTATCATCACTACCTGATGCTAATGTGTTTCCATCAGGAGAGAAACAGACTGAGTTGACACAACCAAAATGACCATCTAATTTGGCTTTTTATTATCCTGTTTTGACATCCCATAGACGGATAGAATAGTTATAATCACAACCAGATGCTAATGTATTTCCATCAGGAGAGAAACAGACTGAGGTGACACAATCATCATGGCCATCCAATTCAGCTTTTTATTTTCCTGTTTTAACATCCCAGAGACGAATAGAGGTATCATTACTACCAGATGCTAAAGTGTTCCCATCGGGAGAGAAACATACTGATCTGACTGAATCTTCATGACCATCTAATTAGGCTTTTTATTATCCTGATTTGACATCCCATAGAAGGATAGAGTTATCACCACTACCAGATGCTAATGTGTTTCCATCAGGAGAGAAACAGACTGATGTTACTAAATTACAATCCAATTAGACTTTTTATTATCCTGTTTTGACATTCCATAGACAAATAGATTTATCGCCACTACCAGATGCTAATATGTTTCCATCAGGAGAGAAACAGAGTGTAGTTATGAAATCTTCATGGCCATCCAATTAAACTTTTTATTATCCTGTTTTGACATCCCATAGACGGATAGAGTTATCACTACTACCAGAAGCTAATGTGTTTCCATCAGGAGAGAAACAGACTGAGTTAACATCATTAGAATGACCATCTAGTTAAGCTTTTTATTATCTTGTTTTGACATCCCATAGACGTATAGAGTTATCTCTACTGCCAGAAGCTAATGTATTTCCATCAGGAGAGAAACAGACTGATATGATTGAATCTTCATGACCATCTAATTAGGCTTTTTATTATCCTGATTTGACATCCCATATACGGATAGATTTTTCCTAACTACCAGAAGCTAATGTATTTCCATCAGGAGAGAAACAAACTGATATGACTGAAGCATGACCATAAAATTTGGCTTTTTATTATCTTGTTTTGACATCCCATAGACGGATAGAACTATCCTAACTACCAGATGCTAATGTGCTTCCATCAGGAGAGAAACAGACTGATATGACTGAAGCATGACCATCCAATTTGGCTTTTTATTATCCTGTTTTAACTTACTATAAACTGATAGACTTATCATCACTACAAGATGCTAATGTAGTTCCATCAGGAGAAAAACAGACAGAGTAAACCAAACTAGTATGACCATCTAATTTTGCTCTTGTTTTCTTAGTGTTCAAGTCCCATAAACGGATAGAGTTATCGCCACTACCAGAAGCTAATGTATTTCCATCAGGAGAGAAACTGACTGAGTTGACAATGTTAGTATGGCCATCCAATTTGGCTTTTTATTATCCTGTTTTGACATCCCATAGACGTATTGACCTATCATAACTACAAGATGCTAATGTGTTTCCATCAGGAGAGAAACAGACTTAGTTCACTCTATTGTTATGACCCTCTAGTTTATTTAATTCCTGGATTCTTAAGTCTTTCCATTTACAATTAAATAATAATGCTCCATTCAGATTTATTCCACTTATGTTAACATTATTAAATTAGGATCCACTAAAATTACACCTAACAAAATTAGCTCCTACTAAAGAAGTATTTTAGATCTTAATGTTTTCAAAATTGTTATTTCTAAGATCTACTTTCATCCTAACTAAGACATGTAATGAATTAGACCCACATTGAATTAAAGTGTCATCTATGGAAGTGAGATGAATTAACAATTACAGAAATTTTATGACCCTGCTATTATCCTTGAATCTATCAATGAGATCTTAAATAGATTCTTATTTTTCTTCATTAGAATAATCTAACTTATTGAAACTATGATCATTTATTTATTGTAAGACATTAGTAATTTGTTTAATATTATTTATAACATTAATTAATTGCTATCCATTATCAACTTCTACTAAATTCTCTACTTGTTGAAAGATTTATTATACAAACTATTTTTGATTTTCATTATTCGAAAGATATCCAATGCAATCTACAACTTTCTCCTTTCTAAATATTTCTACTATGACATCAAAAAGTTTTGTATTAATATCTTTTACTTAATCAAAGATGTCAGCTAAGGCTTCCTTCTCTTAAAAAGAACTTTGCATTTCTTTTTTTTATTTTTAATATTGTATTTTTATGACTCTAATTTTAAGTTAAATACTGCAAAAAAAATTGATGAAAGTATCTTATGCATTATAGTAAATGTAAAAGTTCAGATATTGTGTATAATTGGAAGTGATTTCCATTTAGAATTCATTTCAACATTTGCCTAGCTTGATTCTTGAATAATATAGAATATCTTATTTTGATATGAATAATTTAATTTATACATAATTTGAGTTCTATGATTGATTGATTCATTCTTCTTGTTTATCGTCTCTGGTTAAGTATAATTAATGAATTCAGTTTACAATTTAAAGATTGGAATATGTCTGAACAAAATCCTTAATATATGTAAAATGAATGATTAAAACAAGTGGAATAATGAGTAGAAGGGTTTAAAGAAAAATGAGTAGATCTTTTCTAATTACTATTAATAAATATGAATAGTAAGAGTTATAAAGTTAGACCTATTTTATGAGCTTTGAATTTTAGAGCTGATAATGAGCAATTTGCCTGTTCTTGATGTCTTAAAGGATCGTTAGAGAACATCTATCTATAAGGGTTTTAAGCTTATAGGTAGTCTTTATCTAAACAAAATCAGAAAAACCTGGAATATCAATATAATAAGGCGCTAATACAATTTAAATTTAGAGAAAAAAAAGCTAATAAATAATATTATCTCTAAAATTGTTAAATCAATTTTTTTAAAATAAAAATTTTCAACAAAATTATTTTTAAAATATTAATTAATCACAAAATCCTATCTATAATAATTTCCTATATCTTAAAATTAAAAATAAAAAAAAAAAACATTAACTTCATAAATCAAAATTATTTGTACAAAAAATATCTCTATTATCTTAATCGCTATGGAATTAAATTAATCATCATAT